GTTATTTACCTTTTCAGTGAATGAGTTCACAGTTCAGGCTGTCTCCTCTCTTCTCTTGTCGGATCTTGGTCTAGACTTGGTCTAGACTTGGTCTGGACTTCGTCTCGTTTCCTCTCCTCTCTCTAAAATACAAATGGCAGAAAAGAATAACAGTTAATAACTTCAGCAATAAGGCTGAAGGAGGAGAACTATTGATCACAGTAGGAATTCTGATAAATCAAATAAATGTGCATTTACCTTTAAATGAGCGAGTTCACAGTTCATCTGTCTCCTCTCTTCTCTTGTCGGATCTTGGTCTGGACTAGTGTCGTCCTTGTTTCCCTCCTCTCTGTAAAGACAAATGGCAGATAAGAAGAATAACAGTTAATAACTTCAGCAATAAGGCTGAAGGAGGAACTATTGATCACAGTAGGAATTCTGATAAAATAAAATAAATGTGCATTTACCTTTTAAAATGAGCGAGTTCACAGTTCATGCTGTCTCCTCTCTTCTCTTGTCGGATCTTGGTCTGGACTAGTGTCGTCCTTGTTTCCTCTCCTCTCTGTAAAAGACAAATGGCAGATAAGAAGAATAACAGTTAATAACTTCAGCAATGAGGGACACAGTAGATCTATTGATAATGTAGGAATTCTGATAATAAATAAATGTTTATTTACCTTTTCAGTGAGCGAGTTTACAGTTCAGGCTGCTCCTCTCTTCTCTTGTCGGCTCTTGGTCTAGACTTGGTCTGGACTTCGTCCTCGTTTCCTCTCCTCTCTAAAATACAAATGGCAGAAAAAGAATAACAGTTAATAACTTCAGCAATAAGGCTGAAGGAGGAGAACTAATGATCACAGTAGGAATTCTGATAAAATCAAATAAATGCATTTACCTTTTAAAATTAGCGAGTTCCTGCGATGGACTGGCAACCTGTTCAGGGTGTGCCCGCCTTTCGCCCGATGTCAGCTGGATTGGCTCCAGCCCCCGCGACCCGTACACAGGATAAGCGGTTGACGATGGATGGATGGAGTTCACAGTTCAGGCTGTCTCCTCTCTTCTCTTCGGCTCTTGGTCTTGACTTGATCTGGACTAGTGTCGTCCTTGTTTCCTCTCCTCTCTGTAAAAGACAAATGAGAAAAAAAGAATAACAGTTAATAACTTCCAATGAGGGAAACAGTAGATCTATTGATAAATGTAGGAATTCTGATAATAAAAATGTTTATTTACCTTTTCAGTGAGTGAGTTCACAGTTCAGGCTGTCTCCTCTTTTCTCTTGTCGGATCTGGTCTGGACTCAGTCTGGACTAGTGTTGTCCTCGTCTCCTCTCCTCTCTGTAAAGACAAATGGCAGATAAGAGACTTCAACTGAGGTAAACCACTAGTCTAACTGGAAGTTGCATATTATTAATGCTAACTTGATAAAATCAAATAAATGTGTATTTACCTTTTCAGTGAGCGAGTTCACAGTTCAGGCTGTCTCCTCTCTTCTCTTGTCGGATCTTGGTCTGGACCTGATCTGGACTAGTGTTGTCCTTGTTCCTCTTCTCTCTCTATAAGTCAAATGGCAGATAAGAGACTTCAACTGAGGTAAACCATTAACTGGAAGTTGCATATTATTAATGCTAACTTGACTGCGGAGCCCTACACAAGCAAAACGAACTATTGATCACAGCAGGAATTCTGATAATAACATCAAATAAATGTGTATTTACCTTTTCAGTGAGCGAGTTCACAGTTCAGGCTGTCTCCTTTCTTCTCATTGTCTGATCTTGGTCTAGACTTGGTCTGGACTCAGTCTGGACTTGCTTCGTCCTCGTTTCCTCTCCTCTCTAAAAGTTAAATGGCAGAAAAAGAACAAGAGTTAATAACTTCAGCAATAAGGCTGAAGGAGGAGAACTATTGATCACAGTAGGAATTCTGATAAAATAAAATAAATGTGTATTTACCTTTTTAAATGAGCGAGTTCCTGCGATGGACTGGCCACCGATGTCAGCTGGGATTGGCTCCAGCCCCCCGACCCTGTACACAGGATAAGCGGTTGACGATGGATGGATGGAGTTCACAGTTCAGGCTGTCTCCTCTCTTCTCTTGTCGGCTCTTGGTCTAGACTTGGTCTGGACTTCGTCCTCGTTTCCTCTCCTCTCTCTAAAATACAAATGGCAGAAAAAAGAATAACAGTTAATAACTTCAGCAATAAGGCTGAAGGAGGAGAACTATTGATCACAGTAGGAATTCTGATAAAATAAAATAAATGTGTATTTACCTTTTAAAATGAGCGAGTTCACAGTTCATGCTGTCTCCTCTCTTCTCTTGTCGGATCTTGGTCTGGACTAGTGTCGTCCTTGTTTCCTCTCCTCTCTGTAAAAGACAAATGGCAGATAAGAGAATAACAGTTAATAACTTCAGCAATGAGGGACACAGTAGATCTATTGATAAATGTAGGAATTCTGATAATAAATAAATGTTTATTTACCTTTTTAAATGAGCGAGTTCACAGCGAGTCTCCACTCCTTTCGTCTTCTTCTTTTTGTTTCCATCCTTCACAAACAGCTCTGTGTTTATTACTTTGTCCACAGCTGGTTGCTGCAGTTGGTTTGGAGAGAAGTGCAGGTGGAATTAATATCTTCCTTCTTTCGATCAAGCTGTTTCTGTCCTCTCCCTCTTCTGTCAGTCTGTTCTTGCTGCTCGTCCTGCCTGTCATTGGTGGATCAGTAGTGTTGTAGGTTTGACTCTGTCCCTGCAGCTGTAATGTCTCTTTCCTCACTCACTGCAATCTGCAGCTTGATCTGAACTGTTGATGAGTCGGCAACAATAAAGCTGGACGTGTTTCTCGCTCAAGAAAACACATTCATCCATAACGGAAGACTCGGAAGAAATTCATCTAAAGTCCTTTTGCTGTCCCCGACTGCAGGGCAGACTTGTGTCTTGCAAGCGTGGCAAGTGGCAACCTGTGAACTCCCCGAGTTCCCCGTAGTTTCACCACGTCAGACACACAGGCCAGCTCTAAGAAATAAAGAAAGGTGCAAGACGCACCAGTGCAAGACGCACTGAAAACACTGAGCCTGTGTGCTACATCCATGATGAACAAACTATATACATATATACAATATTTACCCCTCAGACAACCACATGTTTCATATGGTGCAGGGGCCCCGGTGCAAGACGCTACCAGGGGCCTGACAAGCCCTGCCAAAAGCAAAGGCCAGCCCTGAGGAGTAAAAACTAAAGGTCTTTCATGCCACCCTGCCAGCAAGACGATAAAAAGTCAGTCACACTCTCAGGCGTTTCTTTGGTCGAGTGCTGCTCTCTTCCTCAGTGCCCTTCCTCTTCTTCCTCAGAGTCCGTGCACAATACGTGGACTCTCTGGTGAACTGGCAGAGGACGGACATGAGAATGCGACCGTCTCCGCTGTAGTCACTCACTCTCCAGCGGTTGGTCACCTCGGTGCCTTCAAAGCGGGACCCAGTGGAGATGACTCTGGTCACAGTCTCGCCATCAAACTCCATCCGTCGGACACAGTTCCTGGGGTCGGCCCTCAGGGCCCCCAGCTCCGTCCTCTCAGGATGAGCTGCAGTCAGTATATTAGGAGCTGAAGAGCTCAAGCCTGCAGTGGGAACCAAAATACCAGCTGGTTCGTCCGTTAAAGAGGGTGTGGTGTTCTCCCTCTCCTCCTGGTCCACGGGGACGAAGGGTGTGGCCGTCTGACGTGTCCGTAAGGACCCCTTGAATGGAATCAAAGGGAAGTCCTTGGAGCCTGTGATGAGGTGGTGGTACATGCTCAGGATGGACTCCCTCATGGAGGCGACACTTGTGCTGCTCAGAGGACGGTTCCTCAGGTTGGTCACGATCATCTGAAGAACGCGTCCTGGCCGAGGCAGAGCAGCTGAATGGAAAGAAAAGAAAAACATCACTCACGTTAGTCAGGAAGCCCAGATTAAGAAGTCAAAATAGCATTTATGACTTAAAGTTCACATCGTTTTACACAGAAGATCATAAAGACTATGATTATTTATGTTGTTCAAGCTCAGCATGAATAATGTGAAGACTGTACAACACAACATTAAACAACTTTGGATCCAACTAACATCTTTTAAATATTAAAAAGTTTTTCAAAGGTCCTGCTGTTAGATCATGACACTTGGTGGAAGTTACATTTGAATGAAATACAATTTCAGTTCTTCACATGGACTGAAGTCTGTCTCTCTTACAATAACATGTAAAATATGGTGTCTGTTTCATTTCTATTCTTGTATTTAATGAAATTAAAATCAGAAAAGATGAAAATGCAACTTTCACTGTGAGTGAAAACTATTTGTTAGCTTCATTTAATCAAAGTGTAAGCAGCTTAAATTTTCTCGAGCATATTTAAAAACACACATGTTGACTGGTGTGCTGCGTAGAGATTTAAATCTTTCCCACAATAAACTTTTCCAGAAAAGTTAGTCTACTTGTTTCTTGACTTAAGAAAAAAATCCAGAGTCGAATGCTGCTGCAACATAATGTTAAAATAGTTTTCCAGGACAAAACAAGATTTCCCAGGACATTATTTTACTGTTTGTTCTCTTTTGCATGTGTTTTTCATTACTGGAAAATTGGTCAAATGTTTTCCAGGTTTTCCAGGACAGGTGTGTATTACTACAAAGACGTCAAAGTGCCAAAGATGATATTTTGATCATGTAGTGAGCACAAGGAAAGCTGAGTATTTATTATTCAATGAGTTGGTAAAAATAAAAACTCCTTGAAGGTTGTAGGCTAACTTTTCCATAAACTTATGGACCAAACATCCCTGGACACCTGCATCTGCAGTGTTTACATGCCGACTCAGAATCATAAACAAACAACAGGTTGACCACACTGACGTCAGACGTCTGCCTGTGACTAGTTGTAATATTTGATGTCGTTTCCATGGCGCCTGCAACATACACAACTTTTAGCGCTTTTTAAAAAATGGCGCGGTCGCGATCTTTGTCTTTAAATTAACCTGGACAACCCCCTAAAAATAATTAGCAAGTTTTATAAATCACTATAAATTGTTTCATCTGCCTCGTGCTCTCTCAGTAAAATCCATCGTGTTAATTAATTATTGTAATGCCGAGATAACAAGTTTAATGTAGGTTTAGTAGGCTATTTTAATGCTGTTCTGGCCAAATATTTTCAAACAACATTACAGAACTTATATTTATATTGATAAATATTGTATTAATTTATGATTTAACGTAGTATATTTTGTTGTGTTTAATCATGATATAGATGTGGTCTAATGTGTTTTACCATAGCGGTCATCCAGCAAACGGACGATGCCTAAAGTCAGCAGTTGTTCCTCACGGCAGAAACCACTGGAGACCATTTTTTTCCTCACTGCAACAGCTGCTTTCTCACTTCCAGATGTTCAGCAGAGATCTTTTCTTTAATGTCTGTCACCTTTCAACAAGTTAGCACTTTTTCCACAGGTGAAGAGTTTCACTTGTCAAAGGTCAGCAGCTCCTGTCAGCGTTCAGGTGCAGAAAGAAGTTCGAACTTTGACCTCCGCCTTTATAGGGCCCGCGCAACGCGTCAGTCCTCATCACCATGACGACCACAAATTCACTGCTGTATTACAATAAATAATTTATTTTGAATTCATGATTTGACGGTTCTTTAATAGTCATTAACTGTCTTGTAGACTATAGTCCGAAAAATAATTGCCAACTGTTTTGATAGGCTAATGATGAACCGTTTCAGACATTACAAATGCCAAACATTTGATCATTTTCTTTGTTGTAAGTCAGCAAACGAGTGAATACCTTGAAAGACATGAAAGAATTGGCAGATGTCGTCTTGGGCTGTGAGACTGTGTGATGGACATTTAGTCACTTTCTGACATTGATCAGGCACACAGCCTACAGCCTATGTTAGGGGTATATTTTTCCCAAATATCACCCGAATTCGAATTTCTATCAGACACACATTATTATTATTTTCTTTTGTATTAACGCACAAACACAACTTCATGAAATGTATGAAATTAATTGTCCTTATGTCATTTATATGTAGCTTTGGCAATATTGTTGCTGTACATTCATGCCAATAAAGCTACTTTGAATTTGATATTTCTGCTCTCTTTGTAGGCTATTTATTTCAATAAAATGTAATTATTTTACAAGGTACAAGGTTGTTTATTTGTCATTATACAGCACAAGGCTGCATTTTTTGAATTTGCATGGGGTGAATGTAAACAGCAGTAACCAGATGATAGTATGAAAGTTTCATCTTCACAATACAACAATGCAACAGTCTGACATTTGGGAAACAGATTCCATCTTGACTGAGGCCTACACAGTTACACTTCCACCAACACTTCAGTGCACACCTCAATAAACATCTTGCTAAAATAAACATATCAGCTTTAATCACGGAGTTTTTATTGTGAAAAAACAATACAATAAAATACTACTATCCAATGAAAATGATAAAGAAGACATAGAAATACTCCATTACAAGTGAAAGTTCTGTATTTGGATTTTACCTCAAACAAATGTATTGAAGTATTAAAGTAAAAGTACTGATTATGCAGAATGTGCCCTTTCATTTTGTTATATTATTGTGTATATCATATCATTGCTGAAGACAAATCCAGTTTTTGAGTACTTGATGGATGTAGTTATTTTCCACCACAGAAATGACACAATTCTGGATCTGTTGACTTTCAACACTAGAGGGAGGCATTAAAAAATGCCAACTGCAGACAAACAACCCAGAAAAGGGTGATTTTTGTATATGTTTATTTTTCCAGGATGTAATTTGAGATGTGTTGGTGGAAATGTAATTGTGTATAAGTGGTGCTGTACAACCCGTGACCACTTTATTAGGTACAACTGTACAGGGTTTTATATGCTGCCACTGATGGTCTTGATGAGTAGCAGCTGTGAGTGATCAGCAGGAAGCCAGGAGAGAGACAACAGCATACACACACAAAACACAGAGAGACATACTATAGACAAAGACTGAATCCCAATTTCCACAGCCGGATCTTGAGCTAATGTGCGATGGATTACAACTGAAGCACAATATAAAATCAAACAATAAGGGACTTGTAGTGCAGGTTTTTATACTTAATCTTGGAGGAAGGAAGGAAAGAATGAAAAAAATCTTTCCTTGATTCTTTCACTCCTTCCTTGATTCCTTGAATCCTTCCTTCCCTGATTCCTTCATTCCCTCCTTAATTGCATCCTTCCTTGATTCCTACCTTTCTTCTTGCCTTTATTCTTTCCTTGATTCCTTCACTCCTTCCTTCCTTCATTCCCTCCTTGATTCCTTGATTAAAAGAATGGAAAGAAGGAATAAATAAATTCCTTCCTTGATTCCTTCATTCCCTCCTTGATTCCTTGATTCCTTCCTTCCCTGATTCCTTCATTCCCTCCTTAATTGCATCCTTCCTTGATTCCTACCTTTCTTCTTGCCTTTATTCTTTCCTTGATTCCTTCACTCCTTCCTTCCTTCATTCCCTCCTTGATTCCTTGATTAAAAGAATGGAAAGAAGGAATAAATAAATTCCTTCCTTGATTCCTTCATTCCCTCCTTGATTCCTTCCTTCCCTGATTCCTTCATTCCCTCCTTAATTGCATCTTTCCTTGATTCCTACCTTTCTTCTTGCCTTTATTCTTTCCTTGATTCTTTCATTCCCTCCTTGATTCCTACCTTCATTCCTTCCTTTTTCCCTTCAAAGCACCAACAGGGGGTCCTCAACGACCAAACATCGCTGGCACACCACTGTTTAGCTTGTAAATATATTTTATTTGAGGTCCAGTCCACTGTTGTCAAATAAAATATATAGAGCGATCAACTATTTTAAGTTATAACTGGTACCAAACATTGATTGCATTTAGAAAGACTAACAAAATACAAATTTAAAAACGACCACTGCAAGTCAGTGGGAACTGAACACCACACAGGTGAAAGCAAGTTGAAAGCAATTATCACTCCTGCTGGACGTAGGATTCAAACCTGGGTCTGATTAAAAAGACCTGGTTGGGAAACCAACACTCTAACCTCATTTGTTACGTTCAGCCTCCTGGCTGAACCCCAGTGAACAGAAGTTAGGACCCAAATGCAGACACTGAGACGGAAGCATTGGTGAGGTTTATTGCAAAAAATATAGAAACTTAAGGCCCATTTATACTCCTGCGTAGGGTCTACGCGTTGACTTTTGCCGACCGAGCAGGCTAACTTCCGGTTTCATAAATAATAACGGTAACATAAATGTGGGTAAAATTGTAAACGTGTGGGTGGTGTTTTGATAGCGAAACGAGTCATTTTGCTCGGGTTGCGATGGTCAAATATATTGATTTACTGTGCCGTTTTGGCCGCTAGTAAATGTTACTTCAAAGCATGGGGTACTTCCGGTCGGCTCGGAGGCATTGCGAGGCTACCCAGCCGACCAATCACAGATCTTACGGTCCGTAGTTACATTTTTGAGGTGCACGTCAGGCGACGGCGTAGCCTCTGCCTAGCCTCTGCGTAGCCCCGTAGCCTACGCCATCGATTTGACACAGAAGTATAAATTGCACTTTACAGGTGGTTATGTGTCAGCAGTCCAAAAGTACTAAGCACTCAAATCCAAAGGTCCAACAAAAGTATAAATCCACAATGGCACGAGAAACGCTGGAGATACAAAAACAACAAAATCCACAGATACATCCAAAGGAAACATCTGAAACGAACTGCCAACGAGTGAAAGACAGACAACCACTAAAATACACAGGTGAGTGAGAAACTAATTACACACAGGTGAAACCACTAAGACAATCAAGGCCAGGCAGGAAGTAAAACAAGACAAGAGACACTAGGGCAGACAAACTACAAACTAAAACAAGAAAGTAAAGCTAACTGAAACACTCAAGGAACAATGTCACAAAATGAAACATAACACAGACAACATAAGTGACTTGTTGAAAAAACCTACAGATGTAAAGAACATAGAAACTGTGAAACAAGATTAGAAAACACTAATGACCTCATAAGTAAACCTGACTAATAAACAAATGACCAAAGTAACACATACTACAGCGAAGAGCAAACACAAGGGCAGGGAATAAACAGAAACAAACACAAAACACACCTAACCAACCCAAAGCTATACAGACAACTGAGGAAGTCGCAATTTGATCATTTGTTGGTAGAAACATGCATTTGCTTAAAAAAAGCTTTTCAGCTATCGTTTTGGTGTTTTTAGTTAGTTTAGCTTGAGTAGCTGAGATAAAAATATACGTCATGTGTCCACACAAACAGGAAGGATGATTGAAGAGTTTGTAACAGAGGGGAGAACTCAGCTTGCATTTACAACAGGAGTCAATGAGACACGACTGTGACTTACAATTGACCCTTTGCCCAGCCACACCTCGAATACGCAGCTGGCCAAGGTCCGACACTTTCACGGCTGCGCGCCATTGACTCGTATGCAACATTGCCCTACTGAATTTAATGTTATATCGCCCTACTGTTCTGCGTTTTAATGATTGTAATAGTGAACAGAGACCTAAACTAAACATATTTTTAGCAAACACTAAATGCAACTTTGAAAGATCAACATCTTTTCTGCAGCTTAAAGCTCAAATGCAGTCTGTAGCTGCACATATGCCGGAGCATTTAGCTCTTAAAGTTGAGTAGGTTGGAAGAAAATTGAGTCTCTGCTCCCCCTGAAACCCATTCATTTTTTTCACATAAAAATTTAATATAAAATCAACCATTACACATATCAGCAATAAAAGTAATGCCATTATCAATCACATAAAGTTTGCTACTGATTTGAGCATGTGCAGCAAAGTTATAACAACTTCCTGTTTCATGGCGCAGAATGGTACATTGCTGCCACACCGTTGTAGGAAAACTCAGAAGCTTTGCAACATAACACTATCAATGTGTTACTTTTCTTTCTGAGTTTTGAAGTAGAGATGGCCAACCTAAAAAATGTGGTTCATCATAACGCTCCCTATCGCCAATAGGTGGCGCTATGACCATGAGTGAATATGAGCTTGTAAATGTGTTCAGGGCTCTTGTCAAACTTGACAAAAGCTAGCTAGCATTACTGCGCTAACATGTTAGAGACGTAACAAATTCCTGTTTCATGGCGAATCATTGATATTCCACGCCACGGGCACCGCCGGTTGGCCAAAACTCAGGACTTTTGAAAACGTTTTTAATAAATAAGGTTTTTCACAGTAAGTCCTGCTGTGAGTCTTTCTGATCTTCTGTGTAAAACGATGTGAACTTTAAGTCATAAATGCAATTTTGACTTCTTTATCTGGGCTTTAATTAGTCATCCTGACTAACGTGAGTGATGTTTTAATTTTCTTTCCATTCAGCTTCTCTGCCTCGGCCAGGACGCGTTCTTCAGATGATCATGACCAACCTGAGGAACCGTCCTCTGAGCAGCACAAGTGTCGCCTCCATGAGGGAGTCCAGAAATTAAAAGTTATATCTTGGAATGATTACCTCATCGCAAAACAATAAAGCTATTAAAACTGTGAAATGATATTTCTATAATTATAATCTCTATTTGTGTTTCTGTATTTATACTCCTAATTAAACAACCCATGACTGCAGAGACATATTGTGGTTCCAGGTATTCCAAAGACTTCTATTCCTGTCATCATCACGCATAGACCAGTAATCTCAATATGATTGTTTTAGTCAACCGAGGGTCAGTGGTCGTGGTGGTGGGCTAGTGAGCGTGTATAGGAAAAATGTTAAATGTCATCAAGTACGCTGTGATGAATTTAACTCCTTTGAAGTTCTCAATCTTAAACTTGGAGGGCTGCAACCTATCATATTTGTTATAATTTATCAGCCCCCAAAACCGCCTGGAGGATTTTTATCAGAACTTCCTGAATTTTTATCTACTCTGGTTTTAAATTATGACAGAATTGTTCTTTGTGGCGATTTTAATATTCATGTTGATGACCCCACCAATGTTAATGCAACTGACTTTTTAAATACGGCCACTTCTTTTAACTTCAAACAACATGTCAAAGGGCAAACACATAACCATGGTCATAAACTGGACTTGGTTTTTACCCTGGGTGTCAGCATTTCCTCTGTGGAATTAGTGGACATGACCATATCTGACCACAGATGTATTGTTTTTAGCTGCGATGTTACTCATGCCGCCTCACCAAGCTCTGTGTGTTCTCGCTTCTTTAATGAACAAAGTGTTTCAAAGTTTTGCACATTCTTTCAGAGCCAAAGCCAACACCTGTCTGATTCCAACACCAACAATCTGGTCGATCACTTCAATCATATCTGTTTGTCGTCACTAAATATTACTGCTCCTCTAAAGGTCAGACCTACATCTAAAGCTAGTAAGCAACCCTGGATAAATGACAGCATTCGCAGCCTAAAAAGGGAATGCAGGAAAGCAGAGAGCAGATGGAAAAAATCCAGTCTCCAAGTCCATTACCTCAGTCTGAAGGATTTATTAATTAACTACAATAACTTGGTTAAGGATGCGAGAACACACTATTTTTCTGAACTCATTACTACAGATAAACACAACCCCAGGTTTCTGTTTAAGACTGTGGATCAGCTGGTAAACCCAACCCCTCCTTGTGCCTCAGCTGGAAGTAATGATGACTGTGAATTGTTTTTATCTTATTTTACCAATAAGGTGGTGTCAATCAGAGCCTCTATTACCCCCGCGGCCTCTTACTCAGAGGTTCCTCACCAGCAACAAGAGAGTTTTAACCAGTTTTATCCCATCAACTTGTCTGAGCTTTTAAAAACAGTATCACAAATGAGAGTGTCCTCCAGCCCACTTGATGTAATACCTACAAAGTTTTTACTGAAAGTAATAGATTCTGTTGGGCCCCATTTGATCTCTGTTTTCAACAGCTCCCTATCTACTGGTTGTGTCCCTGATTATTTTAAAACGGCTTGCGTGAACCCACTTTTAAAGAAACCTGGTTTAGATCCCTCCCTCCCACATTTAGACCAATTTCTAAACTGCCTTTTATTGCAAAGATTCTAGAAAGAATTGTGTCTAAACAGCTGCTCACTGTACTGGAAAATAACAAATTATTTGAAAAGTTTCAGTCTGGTTTTAGGAAGTATCACAGCACTGAGACTGCCCTGCTTAAAGTCACCAATGACCTTTTAATGTCTGCTGATGAAGGCATGTGCTCAGTCCTAGTACTCCTGGACCTTAGCGCTGCTTTTGACACCATTGATCACAACATCATGTTAGACAGACTGAGGCACTGGGTGGGGATCTCTGGTACGGCCCTAGAATGGTTTTCATCCTACCTGTCAAATAGGAAGTTTTGCGTGTCTGTAAACAACTATGTCTCCTCGTTCTGTCCAGTTAAATATGGTGTGCCTCAGGGGTCGGTCTTAGGACCCATTTTGTTTTCCTTGTATCTACTTTCCCTTGGATATTATCCATAAACATGGCATTTCTTTTCATATTTATGCTGATGACACACAAATATACTTGCCCGTCTGATCCACAGACCCTGGAGTGCTGAGTTCACTTAACAACTGCCTTTGTGAAGTTAAAAAATGGATGTCAAATAATTTCCTCCAGCTGAACTCAGACAAAACTGAAATCCTGGTCATCTGGTCCCAGCAGATGGCAAATCAAATACTGCCATCTGCTGGTTCCCTAGTAAATCACATTAAGCCTGTGGCAAAGAACCTTGGTGTTTGGTTTGATAGTAATTTAAATTTCGAGCAGCACACCACAAAGCTTGTTCAATCATGTTTTTATCAACTTAGAAATATAGCAAAAATTCGATCTATGTTAACTTTTAAGGACACCGAGACCATTTTACACGCCTTCATCTCATCACGCCTGGATTATTGCAACAGCCTTTTCACCTGTTTAACCCAAAAATCTACTGATCGATTCCAGACTGTCCAGAACTCAGCTGCCAGGCTTTTAACCAGAACAAAGAAATATGACCACATTACTCCTATTTTAGCTTCATTACACTGGCTCCCAGTATGTTTTAGAATTGACTTTAAAATTCTATTGATTACTTTTAAAGCTCTTCATGGCCTCTCGCCTTGTTATATTTCTGAACTTTTAGTCCCATACACACCAGCACGTACCTTGAGATCCTCGGGCAGAGGTCTGCTGTCTGTTCCAGAGTCTCGACTGAAAACTAAAGGGGACAGAGCGTTTGCTGTCAGGGCCCCGAGGCTCTGGAAGAGCCTGCCCGAGGAAATCAGGTCGGCTGAGTCAGTGAACTCTTTTAAGTCCCTTCTTAAAACATACTTTTATAGGAGAGCCTTTCCCGATCTTATTTGACTTTATTTTATCCCTTTTATTTTATTGTATTTTACTAATTTTATATTTATCTTAAATGTGTATTTTAGTCTTTTAAGGTCTTTTTAGGGACTTTCGTATAACGCCGGGAGGCTCCACTGAAACAAGTAAATAACATAAATGCTAAATAAATGTCAACATTTTCGTTCACCTACATTTTTTATTTTTGTATTCAATGTATTTTCAAAGGACCACAATTCATCTAAGTCTAAGTTACAGTTACATCCAAAAGTGAGGGCCTATTAGGTCTGAGGGTTTTTCATCCCACAACTGCAGGTTTTTCTTATTTTTGAAGACAGAAATATAGGAAGGATTCAAAATATAGGCCTATCAGACGTTATTCGCTGAATATGATTTGCAGTGTATAATGCCAAGGTAAATCCAGACCAATGACTACCTAGAGAACCTGTCCTTTACGCCATAACCTAACCTTTCAAACCAAGCACAGTTCTGCAGGTTTAAAAATACATGACCATCAGTAAAATAAAGTAAACACATGCCCATTTCTGTACAGCTCTTGACGTCTGATTTCTTGTCATATTATTCATAGAGGTAAAAACTATTTAAATGTTTAGAAGAATGATACAAGTATTCAGTTCTTCATTTATGTGTTTGACCTGATGTTGAGAAAAATCATTAACCTTGAACTGACTGAGAAAATAGTACAATGTAAGTTATCACAGCCCTTTGATCATTTATATTGATGTAACCTGTGGGAGAACACGACGATTTTCATGCTGACTTTACTGTTTAAACCAACTTCATCACTCAGATGTGCTATTTTTAATTCATTTGACACTAAATCCCTCATTAAGACCCTTAAAGTACTATTCACACACTTTACCTTGTCCAGTGAATATGTTTTATTTATTAAGGACAAAAAGCAGGTTGAACACAAACATTAATGATGTTCATCATGGGACTACACAGCCACATGTCAGAAGAATAAATTCAGTGTTGATTTTGGTCTTCTTGATGACAGACAGGAAGATGTTCGAGACAATAAACTGTCTGTGATGCTGCTGCAGATGAGGAGACGTCTCGCTCGTCCTCCCTTGAGTTACATAAAAACAGACAAGAGGGAATAAAACTTAATGACTTCAGCAACAAGGTGAACACATGAAGTATTGGTGTTCATTCTGAAAACATCAAGAGAACATAAAATAAATGCACATTTATTAGAAAGGAGGATGAGAGGAAAGATTACGAGGGCAGATAAGAGGGAATAACACTTAATAACTTCAACTATTATAATGAAGAAGAATGAATACATACTTTTCATTTATGCGGTCTCCTTGTCTCATGTCGTCTGGTCTTGGTCTGGACTCACTCTGGACTCAGTCTGGAGTAGTGTCGTCCTCGTTTCCTCTCCTCTCAGTGAAAGACAAATGCAGAAAAAAGAATAACAGTTAATAACTTTAGCAAAAAGGCTGAAGGAGGAGAACTATTGATCATAGTAGGAATTCTGATAACATCAAATAAATGTGCATTTTCCCTTTAAAATGAGCGAGTTCACAGTTCAGGCTGTCTCCTCTCTTCTCTTGTCGATCTTGGTCTGGACTCAGTCTGGACTAGTGTTGTCCTCGTCTCCTCTCCTCTCTGTAAAAGACAAATGGCAGATAAGAGACTTCAACTGAGGTAAACCACTAGTCTAACTGGAAGTTGCATATTCATTAACACTAACTTGACTGCGTAGCCCTACACAAGCAAAAACAAACTATTGATCACAGCAGGAATTCTGATAATAACATCAAATAAATGTTTATTTACCTTTTCAGTGAGTGAGTTCACAGTTCAGGCTGTCTCCTCTTTTCTCTTGTCGGAACTTGGTCTGGACTCAATCTGGACTAGTGTTGTCCTCGTCTCCTCTCCTCTCTGTAAAAGACAAATGGCAGATAAGAGACTTCAACTGAGGTAAACCACTAGTCCAACTGGAAGTTGCATATTATTAATGCTAACTTGATAAAATCAAATAAATGTGTATGTACCTTTTCAGTGAGCGAGTTCACAGTTCAGGCTGTCTCCTTTCTTCTCATTGTCTGATCTTGGTCTAGACTTGGTCTGGACTCAGTCTGGACTTGCTTCGTCCTCGTTTCCTCTCCTCTCTCTAAAATACAAATGGCAGAAAAAAGAATAACAGTTAATAAGTTCAGCAATAAGGGACACAGTAGATCTATTGATAAATGTAGGAATTCTGATAATAAATAAATGTTTATTTACCTTTTCAGTGAATGAGTTCACAGTTCAGGCTGTCTCCTCTCTTCTCTTGTCGGATCTTGGTCTAGACTTGGTCTAGACTTGGTCTGGACTTCGTCCTCGTTTCCTCTCCTCTCTCTAAAATACAAATGGCAGAAAAAAGAATAACAGTTAATAACTTCAGCAATAAGGCTGAAGGAGGAGAACTATTGATCACAGTAGGAATTCTGATAAAATAAAATAAATGTGCATTTACCTTTTAAAATTAGCGAGTTCACAGTTCATGCTGTCTCCTCTCTTCTCTTGTCGGATCTTGGTCTGGACTAGTGTCGTCCTTGTTTCCTCTCCTCTCTGTAAAAGACAAATGGCAGAAAAAAGAATAACAGTTAATAACTTCAGCAATGAGGGACACAGTAGATCTATTGATAAATGTAGGAATTCTGATAATAAATAAATGTTTATTTACCTTTTCAGTGAGCGAGTTCACAGTTCAGGCTGTCTCCTCTCTTCTCTTGTCGGATCTTGGTCTAGACTTGGTCTGGACTTCGTCCTCGTTTCCTCTCCTCTCTCTAAAATACAAATGGCAGAAAAAGAATAACAGTTAATAACTTCAGCAATAAGGCTGAAGGAGGAGAACTAATGATCACAGTAGGAATTCTGATAAAATCAAATAAATGTGCATTTACCTTTTAAAATGAGCGAGTTCCTGCGATGGACTGGCGACCTGTTCAGGGTGTGCCCGCCTTTCGCCCGATGTCAGCTGGGATTGGCTCCAGCCCCCGCGACCCTGTACACAGGATAAGCGGTTGACGATGGATGGATGGATGGAGTTCACAGTTCAGGCTGTCTCCTCTCTTCTCTTGTCGATCTTGGTCTGGACTCAGTCTGGACTAGTGTTGTCCTCGTCTCCTCTCCTCTCTGTAAAAGACAAATGGCAGATAAGAGACTTCAACTGAGGTAAACCACTAGTCTAACTGGAAGTTGCATATTATTAATGCTAACTTGATAAAATCAAATAAATGTGTATTTACCTTTTCAGTGAGCGAGTTCACAGTTCAGGCTGTCTCCTTTCTTCTCATTGTCTGATCTTGGTCTAGACTTGGTCTGGACTCAGTCTGGACTTGCTTCGTCCTCGTTTCCTCTCCTCTCTCTAAAATACAAATGGCAGAAAAAAGAATAACAGTTAATAAGTTCAGCAATAAGGCTGAAGGAGGAGAACTATTGATCACAGTAGGAATTCTGATAAAATAAATAAATGTGTATTTACCTTTTTAAATGAGCGAGTTCCTGCGATGGACTGGCCACCGATGTCAGCTGGGATTGGCTCCAGCCCCCACGACCCTGTACACAGGATAAGCGGTTGACGATGGATGGATGGAGTTCACAGTTCAGGCTGTCTCCTCTCTTCTCTTGTCGGCTCTTGGTCTAGACTTGGTCTGGACTTCGTCCTCGTTTCCTCTCCTCTCTCTAAAATACAAATGGCAGAAAAAAGAATAACAGTTAATAAGTTCAGCAATAAGGCTGAAGGAGGAGAACTATTGATCACAGTAGGAATTCTGATAAAATAAAATAAATGTGCATTTACCTTTTAAAATGAGCGAGTTCACAGTTCATGCTGTCTCCTCTCTTCTCTTGTCGGATCTTGGTCTGGACTAGTGTCGTCCTTGTTTCCTCTCCTCTCTGTAAAAGACAAATGGCAGATAAGAAGAATAACAGTTAATAACTTCAGCAATGAGGGACACAGTAGATCTATTGATAAATGTAGGAATTCTGATAATAAATAAATGTTTATTTACCTTTTTAAATGAGCGAGTTCACAGCGAGTCTCCACTCCTTTCGTCTTCTTCTTTTGTTTCCATCCTTCACAAACAGCTCTGTGTTTATTACTTTGTCCACAGCTGGTTGCTGCAGTTGGTTTGGAGAGAAGTGCAGGTGGAATTAATATCTTCCTTCTTTCGATCAAGCTGTTTCTGTCCTCTCCCTCTTCTGTCAGTCTGTTCTTGCTGCTCGTCCTGCCTGTCATTGGTGGGTCAGTAGTGTTGTAGGTTTGACTCTGTCCCTGCAGCTGTAATGTCTCTTTCCTCACTCACTGCAATCTGCAGCTTGATCTGAACTGTTGATGAGTCGGCAACAATAAAGCTGGACGTGTTTCTCGCTCAAGAAAACACATTCATCCATAACGGAAGACTCGGAAGAAATTCATCTAAAGTCCTTTTGCTGTCCCCGGCTGCAGGGCAGACTTGTGTCTTGCAAGCGTGGCAAGTGGCAACCTGTGAACTCCCCGAGTTCCCCGTAGTTTCACCACGTCAGACACACAGGCCAGCTCTAAGAAATAAAGAAAGGTGCAAGACGCACCAGTGCAAGACGCACTGAAAACACTGAGCCTGTGTGCTACATCCATGATGAACAAACTATATACATATATACAATATTTACCCCTCAGACAACCACATGTTTCATATGGTGCAGGGGCCCGGTGCAAGACGCTACCAGGGGCCTGACAAGCCCTGCCAAAAGCAAAGGCCAGCCCTGAGGAGTAAAAACTAAAGGTCTTTCATGCCACCCTGCCAGCAAGACGATAAAAAGTCAGTCACACTCTCAGGCGTTTCTTTGGTCGAGTGCTGCTCTCTTCCTCAGTGCCCTTCCTCTTCTTCCTCAGAGTCCGTGCACAATACGTGGACTCTCTGGTGAACTGGCAGAGGACGGACATGAGAATGCGACCGTCTCCGCTGTAGTCACTCACTCTCCAGCGGTTGGTCACCTCGGTGCCTTCAAAGCGGGACCCAGTGGAGATGACTCTGGTCACAGTCTCGCCATCAAACTCCATCCGTCGGACACAGTTCCTGGGGTCGGCCCTCAGGGCCCCCAGCTCCGTCCTCTCAGGATGAGCTGCAGTCAGTATATTAGGAGCTGAAGAGCTCAAGCCTGCAGTGGGAACCAAAATACCAGCTGGTTCGTCCGTTAAAGAGGGTGTGGTGTTCTCCTCTCCTCCTGGTCCACGGGGACGAAGGGTGTGGCCGTCTGACGTGTCCGTAAGGACCCCTTGAATGGAATCAAAGGGAAGTCCTTGGAGCCTGTGATGAGGTGGTGGTACATGCTCAGGATGGACTCCCTCATGGAGGCGACACTTGTGCTGCTCAGAGGACGGTTCCTCAGGTTGGTCACGATCATCTGAAGAACGCGTCCTGGCCGAGGCAGAGCAGCTGAATGGAAAGAAAAGAAAAACATCACTCACGTTAGTCAGGATGACTAATTGAAGCCCAGATTAAGAAGTCAAAATAGCATTTATGACTTAAAGTTCACATCGTTTTACACAGAAGATCATAAAGACTATGATTATTTATGTTGTTCAAGCTCAGCATGAATAATGTGAAGACTGTACAACACAACATTAAACAACTTTGGATCCAACTAACATCTTTTAAATATTAAAAAGTTTTTCAAAGGTCCTGCTGTTAGATCATGACACTTGGTGGAAGTTACATTTGAATGAAATGCAATTTCAGTTCTTCACATGGACTGAAGTCTGTCTCTCTTACAATAACATGTAAAATATGGTGTCTGTTTCATTTCTATTCTTGTATTTAATGAAATTAAAATCAGAAAAGATGAAAATGCAACTTTCACTGTGAGTGAAAACTATGTTAGCTTCATTTAATCAAAGTGTAAGCAGCTTAAATTTTCTCGAGCATATTTAAAAACACACATGTTGACTGGTGTGCTGCGTAGAGATTTAAATCTTTCCCACAATAAACTTTTCCAGAAAAGTTAGTCTACTTGTTTCTTGACTTAAGAAAAAAAATCCAGAGTCGAATGCTGCTGCAACATAATGTTAAAATAGTTTTCCAGGACAAAACAAGATTTCCCAGGACATTATTTTACTGTTTGTTCTCTTTTGCATGTGTTTTCATTACTGGAAAATTGGTCAAATGTTTTCCAGGTTTTCCAGGACAGGTGTGTATATTACTACAAAGACTCAAAGTGCCAAAGATGATATTTGATCGTAGTGAGCACAAGGAAAGCTGAGTATTATTATTCAATGAGTTGGTAAAAATAAAAACTCCTTGAAGGTTGTAGGCTAACTTTTCCATAAACTTATGGACCAAACATCCCTGGACACCTGCATCTGCAGTGTTTACATGCCGACTCAGAATCATAAACAAAAACAGGTTGACCACACTGGCGTCAGACGTCTGCCTGTGATAGTTGTAATATTTGATGTCGTTTCCATGGCGCCTGCAACATACACAACTTTTAGCGCTTTTTAAAAAATGGCGCGGTCGCGATCTTTGTCTTTAAATTAACCTGGACAACCCCTAAAAATAATTAGCAAGTTTATAAATCACTATAAATTGTTTCATCTGCCTCGTGCTCTCTCAGTAAAATCCATCGTGTTAATTAATTATTGTAATGCCGAGATAACAAGTTTAATGTAGGTTTAGTAGGCTATTTTAATGCTGTTCTGGCCAAATATTTTCAAACAACATTACAGAACTTATATTTATATTGATAAATATTGTATTAATTTATGATTAACGTAGTATATTTTGTTGTGTTTAATCATGATATAGATGTGGTCTAATGTGTTTTACCATAGCGGTCATCCAGCAAACGGACGATGCCTAAAGTCAGCAGTTGTTCCTCACGGCAGAAACCACTGGAGACCATTTTTTTCCTCACTGCAACAGCTGCTTTCTCACTTCCAGATGTTCAGCAGAGATCTTTTCTTTAATGTCTGTCACCTTTCAAGTTAGCACTTTTTCCACAGGTGAAGAGTTTCACTTGTCAAAGGTCAGCAGCTCCTGTCAGCGTTCAGGTGCAGAAAGAAGTTCGAACTTTGACCTCCGCCTTTATAGGGCCCGCGCAACGCGTCAGTCCTCATCACCATGACGACCACCGAAAATTCACTGCTGTATTACAATAAATAATTTATTTTGAATTCATGATTTGACGGTTATTTAATAGTCATTAACTGTCTTGTAGACTATAGTCCGAAAAATAATTGCCAACTGTTTGATAGGCTAATGATGAACCGTTTCAGACATTACAAATGCCAAACATTTGATCATTTCTTTGTTGTAAGTCAGCAAACGAGTGAATACCTTGAAAGACATGAAAGAATGGCAGATGTCGTCTTGGGCTGTGAGACTGTGTGATGGACATTTAGTCACTTTCTGACATTGATCACACACAGCCTACAGCCTATGTAGGGGTATTTTTCCCAAATATCACCCGAATTCGAATTTCTATCAGACACACAGAAATCCCCTATTACTGGGAGAAATGCCCAAAATGTCAAATATTTGCTGCAAAATATCTCCTCATGCCATGAACTGAGGACAACCAGTGGAAACCCATAAATAATTGTACTAATTTTCACATTATTATTATTTGGATGGTTTGATATTTTGTGTTTTTGAATCTCACATTTGATACTTATTTTTTTGTTACTAATTAATTCATTTTTGTTTTTGCCTAATATACACTCACACACGTTTACGGTTTCATATTTATTTTATTTGAATTTTTTTAATACATTATTTTAATAACACACACACGTTACTGTGTCATTTACTTATTTATTTTATTTCTTAAAATATTTTCATTTTTTTTACACACACACACGCTTACTGATTTATTTCTTTACTTTTATCTTTAATTTTTTTTACGGAATTTTTTATTTTATATATTTTTATTATATTATTATTATCTTTTGTATAACGCACAAACACAACTTTTACTGTTTATATCCTTATTTCATGAAATGTATGAAATTAATTGTCCTTATGTCATTTATATGTAGCTTTGGCAATATTGTTGCTGTACATTCATGCCAAAAAGCTACTTTGAATTTGATATTTCTCTTGATATGCTCTCTTTGTAGGCTATTTATTTCAATAAAATGTAATTATTTTACAAGGTACAAGTTGTTTATTTGTCTTATACAGCACAAGGCTGCATTTTTTGAATTTGCATGGGGTGAATGAAACAGCAGTAACCAGATGATAGTATGAAAGTTTCTTCACACAACAATGCAAACAGTCTGACATTTGGGAAACAGAGTCCATCTTGACTGAGGCCTACACAGTTACACTTCCTCCAACACTTCAGTGCACACCTCAATAAAATCAAACGGGTCCTTTGACTTTTTATTGTGAAAAAACAAGAAAATAAAATACTATTATCCAATGAAAATGAAAAGAAGACATAAATACTCCATTACAAGTGAAAGTTCTGTATTTAGATTTACCTCACAAAAGTATTGAAGTATTAAAGTAAAAGTACTGATTATGCAGAATGTGCCCTTTCATTTTGTTATATTATTGTGTATATCATATGATATCATTACTGAAGAAGGTCAAGACAAATCCAGTTTTTGAGCAACTTCTCAATTTAAGTTGGGCTGTTAAACCTATAACAACCTATACTGCTATCAGATAAATGGAAGTTACAATAAACCATATTTGCATCTAAAATGTTTTAAAGTAAAAATGTAAAGTAATATAAAACTGAAATACTCAAGTCCAAGTTAGTAAAGTACTTGATGGATGTAGTTACTTTCCACCACAGAAATGACACAATTCTGGATCTACTGACTTTCAACACTAGAGGGAGGCATTAAAAAATGCCAACTGCAGACAAACAACCCAGAAAAGGGTGATTTTTGTATATGTTTATTGTTACAGGATGTAATTTGAGATGTGTTGGTGGAAATGTAATTGTGTATAAGTGGTGCTGTACAACCCGTGACCACTTTATTAGGTAAAACTTTACAGGGTTTTATATGCTGCCACTGATGGTCTTGATGAGTAGCAGCTGTGAGTGATCAGCAGGAAGCAAGGAGAGAGACAACAGCACCACATACACACACAAAACACAGAGAGACACTATACAACTATTGGTCTATATAACTGAATCCCAATTCCACAGCCGGACACAAATCTTGAGCTAATGTGCGATGGATTACAACTGAAGCATATAAAGCATATGAAGTCAAAATAATGGACAGGTTTTTATACCTAATCTTGGGGGAGAGTTCCTGTGTCACAGTCTTATATCCCCTTGTTATGTCAGTTTAAAGTATACTTACATTTACTTACAAAATACTGTATAAAGTATCTGCTAGTATCAGCTCTCCAATAGCAAAATTTATCCCCACATCCCTGATTCTTGTGCTTGAAATCTTCTT